ACTGCGCCACTGTACTCCAGCCTGGGTGACAGAGTGAGACTCCATCTCAAACAAAAACAAAAACAAAAACAAACAAAAAATATCTTTTTGTTCCCAGTTTTGGGTATGTCATTATCAGCAGTGCAAAAATGGACGAATACAGTAAATTGGTACCAGGAGTGGGGTGTTGCTGACAAGATCTGTAAAAATGTGGAAGTGACATTGAAACTGGGTAACAGGCAGAGGTTGGAACAGTTTGGAGGGCTCAGAAGAAGACAAGAAAATGTGGGAATGTTTCAAATTTCCTAGAGACTCATTGAATGACTTTGCCAAAATGCTGATAGTGATATCGACAATAAAACTCAGGCTGAGGTGGTCTCAGATGGAGATGTGGAACTTGTTGGGAACTGGAGGAGAGGGAACTCTTGTTATGTTTTAGCAAAGAGACTGGTGGCATTTTGCCCCTGCCCTAGAGATCTGTGGAACTTTGAAATTGAGAGAGATGATTTAGAGTATCTGGTGGAAGAAATTTCTAAGCAGCAAAGCATTCAAGAGGTAACTTGCAGGTTGGAAGTGGTGGCTCACGCCTATAATCTCAGCACTTTGGGAGGCCAAGGTGGGCGGATTACCTGAGGTCAGGAGTTCAAGACCAGCCTGGCCAAGATAGTGAAACCCTGACAAAAAATTAGCCAGGTGCAGTGGTGCACACCTGGTGCCACCTACTCAGGAGGCTGAGACAGGAGAATCGCTTGAACCCAGGAGGTAGAGGTTGCAGTGAGCTGAGATCACACCACTGCACTACAGCCTAGGCAACAGAGTGAGACTCTCTCTCTCAAAAGAAAAAAAAGAAAAAGTCACTTGCAATAGAAAGAAAAGCCCATTTTCTGGGGAGAAATTCAAGCCAGCTTCAGAAATTTGCATAAGTAGCAAGGAGCCTAATGTTAATCCCCAAGACCATGGAGAAAATGTCTCCAGACCATGTCAGAGAACTTCCTCGCAGCCCCTTTCATCACAGGTCTAGAGGCCCAGGAGGAAAAGTGGTTTTGTGGGCCAGGCCCCAGGTCCCTGTGCTGTGTGCATCCTAGGGACTTGGTGTCCGGTGTCCCAGCTGCTCCAGCCATGGCTGAAAGGTGCCAACACAGAGCTCGGGCTGTGGTTTCAGAGGGTGGAAGCCCCAAGCCTTGGCAGCTTCCACATGGTATTGAGTCTGTGGGTACTCAGAAGTCAAGAGTTCAGGTTTGGGAACCTCCGCCTAGATTTCAGAAGATGTATGGAAATGCCTGGATGCCCAGGCAAAAGTTTGCTGCAGGGGTGGGGCCCTCATGGAGAACCTCTGCTAGGGTGGTGCAGAAGGGAAATGTGGGATTCAGAGCCCCCACACAGAGTCCCTACTGGGGTACTGCCTAGTGGAGCTGTGAGAAGAGGGCCACCATCCTCTAGACTCTGGAATGGTAGATTCACTGACAGCTTGCACTGTGCGCCTGGAAAAGCCACAGACACTCACTACCAGCCCGTGAAAGCAGCCAGGAGGGAGCCTGTACCCTGCAAAGCCACAGGAGTGGAGCTGCCCAAGACCATGGGAACCCTTCTCTTGCATTTGGTGACCTGGATGTGAGACCTGGAGTCAAAGGAAATCATTTTGGAGCTTTAAAATTTGACTGCCCTGCTGGATTTCAGACTTGCATGGGCCCTGTAACTCCTTTGTTTTGGCCAACTTCTCCTATTTGGAATGGCTGTATTTACCCAATACCTCCATCCCCATTATATCTAGGAAGTAACTAGCTTGCTTTTGATTTTACAGGCTCATAGGCAGAAGGGACTTGCCTTGTCTCAGATGAGACTTTGGACTGTGGACTTTTGGGTTAATTCTGAAATGAGTTAAGACTTTGGGGGACTGTTGGGAAGGCATGATTGGTTTTGAAATGTGAGGACATGAGATTTGGAGGGGGTGGGGCAAAATGATATGGTTTGGCTGTATCCCCACCAAAATCTGAACTTGAATTGTATCTCCCAGAACTCCCAAGTGTTGTGGGTGGGACCCAGAGGGAGGTCATTGAATCATGGGGGCCAGTCTTTCCTATGCTATTCTTGTGATAGTGAATAAGTCTCACGAGATATGAAGGGTTTATCAGGGGTTTCCACTTTTGTTTCTTCCTCACTTTCTCTTGCCACCACCATGTAGGAAGTGTCTTTCACCTCCCGCCAAGATTCCAAGGCCTCCTTAGTCATGTGGAACTGTAAGTCCAATTAAACCTCTTTTTGTTCCCAGTTTCAGGTATGTCTTTATCAGCAGTGTGAAAATGGACTAATACATATATCCATTAAATATATATCTATAATTAACCACTTCTCTCCACCTCCACTGCTCCACTCTAAGCCACCACCATCGCTTGCTTGAACTACTGCAGCAGTGTCCTCCCTGGTCTCCTGGCTTCTACTGTCATTCCCTGCAGTCTATCCTCCCATAACAGCTAGGGACCATGTTAAATCTAACACAGACCATGTCCCTCCTCTGCTCAAAACCTTCCCATGGCTCCCTATTCTTCTTAGAGTGAAAGCAAAATCTTTCCTCTGGTCCTTAAGCCCCTAGGTCACCTGGTTTTGCCAATAATCTCTGATCTATTGTTTTGGTTTTTTTTTCTTTTTTTGACAGAGTCTTGCTCTGTCACCCAGGCTGCAGTGCAGTGGTGCAATCCTGGCTCACTGCAACCTCTACCTCCCGGGTTCAAGTGATTTTCCTGTCTCAGCCTCCCAAGTA